GTTCTCTATTTACACTATGTCTGTAGTTGCTTCCTCCACTGAAGTCATGGACCCCTCAAAGTTAACCATGAGGGCTCAAATAAACTTCTTCTAAACTCTTATTAATTTTGGTAATAAGACTTCCTCCCATGAGTCATGATGTTCTTAATAGCACCTAGAAGGTGAATAATTTTCAGGATGTTTTTAAATTTACATTGCCCAGATCTACCAGAGGCATCACTGTCTATGGTAGCTATAGCCTTATGAAAAGTATTTCTTAAATAATAACAATTGAAAGTCAGAATTTCTCTTTGATCCATGGATTGCAAGATGGGTGTAATGTTAGCAGGCCTGCAAACAACATTCATCTTCATGTACATCTACATCATAGCTCTTGGTTGACTAGGTGCATTGTCAGTGAGCAGTAATTTTAAAAATTTATTTGTATGAATTTATGTGGTACATACGTAATTTTGATCCATGGATAGATTGTATAGTAGCCAAGTCAGGGCTTTTAGGGTATCCATCACTGGAATAACATACATTGTATCCATTAAGTAATTTCTCATTATTCACCTACTTCCTAGCCCCCTTGCAACCTTTCAAGTCTCCACTGTCTATCATTCCATACTCTACGTCCATGTGTACACATCATCTAGCTCCCTCTTTTAAGTGAGAACATTAAGTATTTGACTTTCTGTGTCTGAGTGATTTCATTCAGGGTAATGTCTCCAGTTTTATCCATATTGCTGCAAAAGTCATTATTTTGTTCTTTTTTGTTCCTGAATAGTATTTGATTATGTATATATACAGTATTTTCTTTATCCAGTCATCGATTGATGGACGCTTAGGTTGAATTCATTTCATTGTTATTGTTCTGGTGTGAGCTTTGCTCACTGCCTATGTGAGTAGTAACATTTTGGATAGAATCTTTTTTTTTTTTTTTCCTGATGGGCTTAAAATATTCAGTAAACCATGCTATCTATAAACAGACGTGTTTTAATCTGGACTTTGTTCTTTTATTTATAGAGTACAAACAGGGTAGATTTAGCATAATTCTTATGGGCCTTAAGTTTTTCAGAATGGTAAGTGAGCACTGCTTCAACTTAAAGTGACCAACTACATTAGTCCATAGACAAGAGTCAGCCTATCCTTTGAAGCTTTGAAGCCAGGCATTGACTGCTCCTTTCCAGCTGTGAACACCGTAGATGGCATCTACCACTTGATGGCTGTCTTGTCTACATTGAAAATCCGTTGTTTAGTGTAGTCACCTTCATCTATCATCTCAGCTAGATCTTCTGGATAATATGCTGCAACTTCTCCATCAGCACTTGCTGCTTTGCTTTGAACTTTTATATTACAGAGATGGCTTCTTTTCTTAAGCCTCATGAACCAACCTATTCTAGCTTCAGACTTTTCTTTTGCAGCTTTCACATCTCTGTCAGCCTTCATGGAATTGAAAAGAGTTAGGGCCTTGTTCTGGATTAGTCTTTGGCTTAAGGGAATGTTGTGTTGTGGCTGGTTTAATCATCCAGACCACTAAAACTTTCTCCATATCAGCAATAAGGCTGTTTTGCCTTCTTATTATTCATATGTTCACTGAAATAGCACTTTTAATTTTCTTCAAAAACTTTTTCCCTTGCATTAGCAATTTGGCTCACTGTTTGACACAAGAAGCCTAACTTTATGCCTAGCTCAGCTTTCAACATGCCTTCCTCACTAAGTTTAATCATGTCTAGTTTTTGATTGAAGTAAGAGACATGCAACTCTTCCTTTCACATGAAACTTAGAGGTCACTTTAGAGTTGTTAATTGGCCTAAATTCAATATTGTTTTGTCACAGGGAGTAGGATGGTCCCAGGTAAGGGAATGAGAAGGAGAAATGTTTGGTAGGTGCACTCAGAACACACACATTTGTTCATCACTGCAGATAACTGAACGTCAAAGAATTTGTAGCTTTGTAACTTAAAAAATCTGTAAAGTTGAAATACAAGTCAAACAATTAGAATGTATTTTATTCACAACCACTGTTATGTATATCTACACTGAGATTTTTTCCTCATTTTTCTGGTTGAAATGTGATTTAAGACCTAAAATATGGGTTACAAAGCAACTTCCTTGCCCTATAAAATTACGCTGTGTCACAGAGTGGTATTTACAGATCATGACATAACCCACATAGATCATAACATCACTAGGATGGAGTCATTGTGCACTGGTTAGTGTAAGCTGTGGTATTTTGGATTTGGTCTGGGGTTTCTATTTAGTCAACATAGTGTCCCTATAATCTTTAACTTCCTGTTACCAAGAGACATCTAACAAATAATGAAATATGGAAATGTGTATCCTTTATTTAGGTGAAAAATATTCATGAAGAGAACTGACTGGGTCTGAAATGTATATGGATATATATATGTATGTTTAAGAGAAAGGCATTTTAAAAATATTGCCTGCAATGGTGTTTGGAAACACTCTTCTAAAATATAAGAATGTTCATTAATCAATTTCTACATTTGTGAGCTCTTATTTGACCCATTGCCAAAGCCAGGACATCCATTCTCATCAGGATGTAATTGTAGACATTGTTCCATGAAAATTCTCAGAGCATGAAGAGGTGTGACAGTTGTCAGAAAGAGATAGATGAGTGGAAAGGAATTTAAAAAAGAATGTGCATCTAATACAAAATGCATATTTTTGATTTATAGGTTGGAGGAAACAAATGGAGATAAAGAAACA